CCACATTATATTGTTTAATATTAAAATCATTGAAAATATTGTATATGACTAAAATTTTATAGATGCTATTTTGGCTCATGTAAAAGCATGAATTAGCACAGACAATTAGTTAGTTGGTTACAATTCAAGGCATTTATTAACATTTCTTTGACAGGAGTGTTTGGTTCGGTAGTTTGTTGACAGTCCCTAAGTGAACCTTCGGGCCCTGCGGCTGGGAGCGGTGGAGAACCGCTGGCCGAAAGTAGCGTTCATAAATCGGATCAACCTTGAGCTAAACACCGCTTACTCCCCGGAGCTCGAATATCGAATATCCAACTTAAAACTAACTTCACTGCGGTGCATTTTTTGCCCTTATTTGCAAATTAAATAACTTTTTTATGACCTCAAATGAAATTCCATGACTTTCCAGGTTTTCCATGACAGGTACGAACCCTGTAACAATATGACAAATTATTGAAAATATAGAGAAAAGCAAAGAATTGTGAATTATTATGCACAATTCAAACACAATTTTTTTTTTTTTTTTACAGTTTACCCAAGTGCTTTTCCTGTCTTGACTCCACCCTCTGGGCAAACTGCTGTGGCTACGTCATCTGAAAACTCCAGAGTCACAGTCCACCCACTTATACAAAGTACTAAGTTATTTTTTAAACGCTATTTACTATTGGCTACTAATTTCTTGTACATATTTGGCTCCATGTTTCTTTTCTTCTTGGCAGTTGGTGAACGAGCCTCCAGAGGCAGCAGAGCTCTGACAGTAGCGGTCGTGTCCCAGCCACAGCCAATTCCCATCATACTGAACAGTCTGAGAGACTCTCCTGGATTTGTTCGCTGTCCTCACTGCCTCGAGCTTGTCACCAGTAACGTTACGTATGTGGCTGGGAGGACTGCTGTGTGCTCATGTATCATTATGGCTTTAATGGGGTGGGAGCAGAACACACACACACACACACACACACACACACACCCATGTACATGCAGAAGAATTACAGTGTTGAAGCTCAGCAGGCAGATCTGACCATTCTTCTGTTTTTCAGGTTATTCTGCGGTTTCTGTCTGATTCCACTGTGCATGAGAGGACTGCAAGATGCACATCATTCCTGTCCACAGTGTGGCAAGAAACTGTACATTTATGAAAGATGACATGCTGTCTGGATCCATGAAGCTCCTGCTTTTCTCCATCCGCTCAGGATCTCGTTAAATATGTTGCAAATTTTGCAAATTAATTTGTCATATGACTGCGTCACATGCTGCATACACTGCACTTTTTCTGAGCTTTTAACTCAAACTAAAGGTAGGTTCTCTTTGGCAAGAAGGAAAAGCCACATTTAAGATTCATCACAGCAGGAAAGAAATATCACACCTTAATGAATGCTTGCAGGTAGGCCCCAACTTCCTGATGACTCTGCATAGATAAGCATGTGAAAGTAATGACTGGAAGGATGTATGCTTGCCATACATCTCAAACAGCTGACACAGGTTGATGTGTTAAACATTTTAAGGTATTTTTCATAAGCATTTCTAGACTATTTATAGTTGAAATGCATGGAGTAGTAGGTGAACATTAAGTGTATTTTTGATGTTTTCTATAAATGTCTGAAGTTGTTAAAAGGCTCAAATGAGAAAAGAAGCAGAAGCAGTTTTAACATGTTTGTAAAACCTCAGACTGTAAGAAATATTATCTTTTGTCACTTATTTTAATTTAGCTTTTTGTTATTATCAAAAGTTGAGTTCAGATTTTTTTAAATTAGGGTCTTTTGAGGAGGTTTATGATGATAATGTTTAGTGTACTACGGAGCAGAAAGCTGACGTCTTTCGTTCTCCCTACATCCAGTGGGTGATGTAGGTTGATACAATTTATAGTAGCCACACAGGCACACCCACTAGAAGGAAACAAACGCACCCAGTACAACACTTTCATCTACTGGCTGAGAGGTTGCCAGGCAACTGTGCCAAAAGGCAGTTCCATGTTTTGTAAGCGAGCAGAGAGTCCGAGCAGAGACCAAGTCTAAGCGCGAGAAGTTTTGAGTACAAGCGTTACAAGTTTTGAGAAGAAAGACATGAAGTCCTGCTTTCTAAATAAAAATGTAAGCAAGAGTATTAAAAGTTTTGAGAACAAAAGACATAAAATCCTGCTTTCAGACTGAACATGTGTGCTCTTGACAGAAAAATTCCCTACAAAAACATTTGTTAATTCAGAGATATTAATTTAAAACATGAATGTAGTTTTGATTTTATAAAAGGCATTGTTTAAAGGATTTTCCATAACTATTGTATAATGTGATGTTTCTTAATTCTATTGGTAATGTATTCCAAGTGTGTGATGCTAGGACCGAAAAAGCCGCCTGACCAACTGAGTTTTTCCTGAATTATGTTTTGCGATGCCCTCTGCTAGATGGTGTTGTGGATATATTGAAGAAAATATCAACAAAATAATTTCTTTACAACAGATCTGCTCAGTCCTCTTTGTACCAGAGTGTGACTTTTTGAGGGTGATACAAGCTCATCCAAACTCTGGTCTTCAAAAATACAAAGGTCTTTTTCAGGTCAATCCGTTTGCTCACAGTTGGAAACAAACTTTCCAACAAGTTTGTTTCCTTGTTATAAAAGAAAAACAATTTAGCAAATCAAAGTGAGAAAAGGAACAGAAAACATTTTCAAATAAAAATGTGATTTGAAAACTTTTAAATTACTACAATACCAACCTCGAGCAACATGTTCAATAACTTATTGCCTCATTGGCAGCTCATAGTGGACATCTTCTTGTGAAGTACAGTGTAAGAGTGGACCAAAGCAAATGAAGCTGTGAAATGCTTCTGGGAAATCACCCAAAAACTCCACTACAACATTAGAGATCAGCCTGAGTTCAGATTTCTACAGGACATTGGAGAGGTCTTCATTTTCTTCCCTTGTATTCCTGATGGAGAGTGAATTCCCTGAGAATAGAATAGAATATAATAGAATATAATAGAATAGAATAGAATTTGGCTCCCAAATTATTCCTTTTATTTTTTAATGACATAAGTAAGGCATCATCAATTCTAAGATTTATTTTATTTGCTGATCTGATGATATAAATATATCAGTTTCTGGTGACAACAACTTTTGGATACTATTATCTCAGAATTTAAAAGTTTTGTTTGACATGAATATGTTATCACTAAATGTGAGCAAGATAAAATTCATGATATTCACTAACAATGAATAAAAGTGCCCAGACTGCATAACATTAGGGGATGCTAACATAGAAAGTGTGCATTAAACAAAGTTTCCATTGGTAATAACAGATGATACAATTTGCTGGATGCACATTAAATAAGTTCTATAAGCTTTCAATGTATGCAGCATTAAATTGCAGTGATTTATGCAAAAAGATACCCAACCAGGTATTGAGTGCATATATTGTACAGCAGCTGGATATGCTTTTCAGTTGGGTGACATTTCTGTATTGAACGTCCTCTTTGGTTGGAATTTCTTAAGATGAAATACATATTTGAAATATCACTAAGTGTAGTAAATCCACATTATATTGGCTGTAGTTTTTGAATTGTATTGCAAAGTAGCTGTGTTTTTTGATGTTATTCTGATTAGAACTGAGATGCAAGTGTGCATATTTAAATAAAACCTGCCAACACTGTGACTTAAGCTACTTTTGCTGAAGCAATTCCAGTTGAAACGGATGAAAAAGTGGGCCAATTTGCTTAAAACATTTGTCACTTCCCTATAGATGGGTGCTTAGTTTTTCCTAGGATGCATCCTTAT